TTTAAATTCGTAGTATTGCTGGTAATGGCCTCGTTTGGTGTAGCCGTTAAAATAACTTATAGATTATAGCTTAACATATTATAGATTGTGACTTTAATTAGAAGTTGTTAATCTGTTTGGTGTAACTGTTAGATTATAGATTTAAGTTGCTGAGTAGTGTTTGTTAAATAAGTTGTGAAATAACTTTTTCAATTAATTTTTATTTTTTGTTTGTCTACATTTCTCATAAATAATAATAATAATAATCTATAGTCCATTTGGGTCTTTTTCTATTTTTAAAAAAATAAAAAATAAAAAAATCTAAGAATATAACCCTAAATTAATATGTCCACAGCAGAAGCTGATAATCAGAAGCAAGGGGTGAGCAGCTTCTCAGAATCAGTTTTTTTAAGTTAAAATAAGCTGTTAGAATCAGAAGCTGTTTGAAATAAGTTTAATCAAACAGTCTAAAATTATTTTGTCAAAGTTAAAAATTATAAGTTAACTTTGAAAAACTGAAACAAACATCTCCAATAAAAGCAGCTTCTAAAGCAACATGTGTACAAAAGATAAGTTGTGCTTCACTTTTGGATTGGAATTGATATGAGCAAAAGAAGGTTATGGAACTCCACCCAATATTTGAATGTTTGATCAAAGTATAAAAGTGATTAGTCTAACAGTTAGAAAGTCTTTTTATTTACAACGATACTACCTTTTTAATTTATCACCTTTAAATAATTTTTAATGATATGTTATTAGAGATGGTTTGTGGGGGTGATCCTATTTGTAATAACTCAATACGCCTAATTAAAATTTTAAAATTTGTGTAGCGTAGGATCATATATAGAATAAATCTAAACCATAAAATGATAATTTTAAATAATTTATAGATAGTTAAGTTTGAATTCATAGTATCAATAATGATATAGAGTTCTAATTTTAAAACTTTAAAGAGAGCTCTAATATGTGACAAGAGAAAAAAATATATATACACATCACATCACATGTGAGTCACACTCTTTACCACATCATTAAAACTCTATTTAAAGTTCCAAAATTAAAATTCTCACTTTTATTTTTTATAATATTGCCGATAATAAAAGCAACTTACAAAGCAACATGTGTACAAAAGATAAGTTGTGCCTCACATTTGGATTGGAATTCACATTAGCAAAAGAAGGATACGGAACTTCCCCCAACATTTGAATGTGATCAAAGTATAAAAGAGATTAGTTTAACAGCTAGAAATTCATTTTATTTACAACAATAAAATTTTTTAATTTATCATCTTTAAATAATTTTTAGGAGCGATTCTATTTGTAGTTAAATAATAACTCAGTACACCTAATTAAAATTTTAATTTTTTTTTATGATGCACCCAAATTACTTATACGTATTTTTCATATTTAACTTTCGTCATATTCTTTTTCATTCCAAAACATCTATCTTACTAAAATTCATTATTATTATTAATATCATTATTATATAAATATTTTACTTTTTTTTTTAGGTACAACGAAAATAAAAAGGAAATACAGGCCTAGGCCCTTTCACAAGACATGCCAATCATGTCTGCAACTAGGAACTCCCTAATAACAGCTTGTGGTTTATTAACCACTAAGATCTCTTCAGGTTAAGTAGCACCAAATTTGTCCAGAGCATCAGCACAAAGGTTGCCTTCTTTATACACATGCCGCACAGTGCATTCACAACCTCTCATGATAATATGAGCATCCTCCACCAGCCCTTTGAATGGGCATTTGGCATTTGGTTCCTCTTGTAGCAGCTTCATTGCTTGCTCACAATCTGTCTCAATGGTTACATTGTTCATTCCCTTTTGTAAAATCACCGTGAGCCCTTTTGTAGATCGCCCATAGTTCAACCTCCAAGCTAGTGCCACTGTGAAGCTTCCCATAATAGCCACACACCCATGACCCCCTTTCATCGCGAATTAGACCTCCGAATCCACCTTCACCTCTCATTCTTCTACAACCATCTGTGTTTAGCTTCAATCTACTTGCAGGTGGGAGAGACCATGAAATGAGTCGAAAAGAAGGTTTTGGATTAACAATAGACAAAACAAAAGCTTGATGAATATCATTAGAATATTGCATGATGAACCTGCCGCTGTCAAGAATGCTATTTACACTATTATTAAAGACTTTGTGGTTCCTATTCTTCCAAATAGCCCAAAGAGTAACAATAAAAATAGTGTAGACAATAAGGTTATCATTAAAATGGTTTTTGTTTTTTGAATTGCAAATGATCCAGTCCTTCCAGGGCTTGCTACACATATTCAAGTACCAATGCCTTCTAAAAATAGCAAACCACATTTCCTTTGCTTTAAAGCAATCTCTAAGGAGGTGAATCGTGTCCTCCTCTTTACAGCAAAAGGGGCAAGTGGCCTCCAAAGATAAACCCCTTTTCAAACAAAGTTTATTTGTGAGGAGTTTTCCATGGATACAACACCACAAGAACCCTTTCAATTTCTGTGGAATCCGTAACTTCCAGAGCCAATGCCAATCCTCACCTTGGGGCTGATTACCACTCACCAGATCATAGGCACTAGCAGATGAGAAAATCCCATCTGCTGAGCCTTTCCAGTTAGGTTCATCAGGCTCAAGAGAGGTTGGAGAAGGCCTGCTCAGAATGATAGATGCTACTGCAGGAGGCAGTATATCACAGATGACAGTTTCATTCCAACTTCCTTACTCAGATATCAAGTTGTTCACATTAACATCATTCTCCCAAAAGGGAGCAGCCTGTGAGCTACTAAGGGTAAGATCCTCAAAAGCCTTATCACCACACCACCAGTCCTTCCAACAGTTAACAGTTGCACCATTACCAACTGTCCATTTAACCCTTTTCCTCAAGATAGCTCTAGAGTTAAGAATGCCTCTCCAGGTATGAGAAGCTTTCTTACCTCTAGAACAAGCCTGAAGACAATTATTCCTCATATACTTACACTTAAGGACCTCTTTCCAAAGACCATCCTCATGACTAATCATTTTCCAGCCAAGTTTAGATAGAAGGGCAAGATTTTGATCCCTGGCCTTCTTAATGCCAAGCCCACCATTCCTTTTTGGCTGACAGACAACATTTCACTTGACCAAATGAATTTTCTTTTTCTCTAGGGTGTCACCCCAGAGAAAATTTCTATTCATTTTATCAATATCATTGCAAACCCTTTTAGGAAAGGCCACAGTCTGCATAGTATAAGCAGGAAGAGCTGAGTTAACTGATTGGATTAAAGTAGTTCTGCCAGCTAGTGATAAAACACCAGTTTTCCACCCAGCAAGTTTCATTTGCATTTTATTTAGAATGCCATTATAATGTCTCCAACTCACTCTGCCATGAATGAGAGGAACCCCAAATATTTCCCTAAATCAGAAGTTAAAGGAATACCACACTTATCACTCAGCTCTTTAGCCTTATGTCTATCAACATTAGGAGAAACAAATATCTTGGACTTAAGGGCATTAATCTTAAGGCCAGATAAATCACAAAACTCAGACATGATCCTCATGATAGTATTGCAATGAGCCAAGTCAGCCTTAGCAAACAACATTAGATCATTAGCAAAGAACAAATGAGTGAGACAGGGACCATACTTGGAGGTCTTAATGCCTTTCCAATGATTACCTTCAGAGGTGGCAATGATCATATTTGAGAGCCTTTCCATGCACAAGACAAAAAGATATGGGGAGAGGAGATCTCCTTGCCTCAGCCCTCTTCTAGGTTTGAATTCTTGAAGGGGTTCACCATTCCAGAGAATGGCAGTTTGCACAGAAGTCACACAGCTCATAATGAGCTCAATAAAGTTAGCCTCAAAATTGAATTCCACCAGAGTTTGTTCTAAGAAATCCCAAGAAACAAGATCATAGGCTTTTTCAAGGTCAATTTTAAGAATCATCCCTCAATTTCTACCTTTTCTTTGGTTCAAGGTATGGATAATTTCTTGGGTAATGATGATATTATCACTGGTAGTTCTCCTAGAAACAAAACTGCTCTGATAAGGGCTGACAAGTTTAGCTAAGAGGGATCTTAGTCTACTAACAAGGATTTTGGCAATAATTTTATAAGTTACATTACACAGACTAATAGGCCTAAAATGTTTAATAGTCTCAGGATTCTCAATTTTGGGAATCAGGGCCACAAGTGTTCTATTAATATCAGGAGGGGTACACTTGTTGACAAAACAATTCTTAACAAATGCACAGACATCAGGCCCAACAATAGGCCAATAAGCATGGTAGAAAATAACTTGGAAGCCATCTCTCCCAGGAGCTTTGAAAGCCTGGATTTGTTTAACAATCTGCCAGATTTCCTCATTACTCACAGACTTAGTGAGAGAATAGTTATCAGTAACATCAACTTTACAAGTAATGTGATTATTCCAATGAGCCAAACCAACAGTAGAAGAAGAACAAAATAGGTTCTTGAAATAATCAATTACCAGAGTTTTAAGGCTCTCAGTTTGATCAATCCAAGTCCCTGCATCATTCTTAAGCATGACAATTTTACACCTCATCCTCTTAGCTAAAGTAGAAAGATGGAAAAATTTGGTGTTTCTTTTCCCTTGGGTAAGCCATTTAGCCCTTGATTTTTGAAACCAAAGGAGCTCCTCTTGGTACAAGATTCTGTTATATTGTTCCACCAAGTCCAACTCCAAGAGATGGAGGCTATGGGAAAATTTACACAGTTGGAATTTTTGAATTCCTTCAATTCTACCAAGTAACAATCTTTTTTTTTCGAAAAATATTACCAAACACCTCTTTGTTCCAAACAGTGATTTTACTAGTAAGGTTAACAAGCTTATCCAGCAAAGATAAAAAGGGGAACTGCCAATTAGAATCCACTACTGACTGGAACTCTTCATGAGAGATCCAAGCAGCTTTAAATTTAAATGGTTTATAGACATGGTTAAAGGAATGCTTACCTTAAGGGAAAATCATCAAAGGAGAATGGTCAGAGTACGTACGAGGGAGGTTCTGGACCAAACAATCAGGGAAGCTCGTCCTCTATTCAGTGTTGCACATGGCTCTATCAAGTCGCACCATAGTATTAGCCCACCCCTTTCTATTGTTAGACCAAGTGAGCTTAGGACCTGCACATCCCAAGTCCATCAGGTTGCAATTGTTCACCCTCTCAGTAAATTTCCGAGCTCTCCTTTGATCTTGACTTTGGTTTTGGCTTCCAGACATGGTTCTGTTTTCATCTAGAGAAGCAAAATCATTAAAATCCCCAGTTAAGAGCCAAGGATCAGTGATAGTTTGGGAAGTTCTTTCCAAATTATTCCACAGCTCTTCCCTTTTTTGACTAATAGGACTAGCATAGATAGCAGATAAAATCCAATCAGGATAGTCTTGCCTTGAAATGGTGGCAGTGATCAACTGGGAACTAGCCTTAGTGACTCTCACATTCATTAGGATGGGGTTCCAGACTATCTAGATACCCCCACTTCTACCGATGGGATCCACATGAGAAGAAGCAGTGAAGCCCATCCTATTAAAGAACATGCCTATAGAGCTGAACTCGACCTTAGTCTCCATAAGGATTAGCAAATCAGGTTTGTTAATCTGGACTAATTCCCTCATATTCCTACGAAACTTCTTATTACCTGCACCTCTACAATTCTAAACCAACAGATTCATAAATGATTGGTTGAGGGTAGGGAGAGTGTTTTGGTTAGACAAGCCCAGAATACCCTTAGCTTTACACTGGTTGTCCTCCATTGACAATGTTGGTGTTACTGCTATGAAGTGCCACTCCTGGCTGGCTTCGATCTGTCTCCAAGGTTGGATTCTTAGCTTTGCTCCCTCTATTCACCAATCTGAGGTGACGAGGTGAAACACTTCTTTGTCTGGTGCAAGCATTAGCAAGACTCTGTGCATGTTCAGAATGTGCTTCTCTGTTGGATAATTCTCTCATTCTTCCTCCATTACGATCTGGTGGTTCTCTAACCTTTGCCTTAGGGTTTCCTTTAGTTTCTTGAAAAGTCCTGGGGTTGTTGGGGACTAGGATGGATGACATAGACCCCCTTACTTCCTGTTCTGACTTCTGAAAACTTGTTGCAGTAGAGCAACTCGTCTGTTTGCCTCGTCTAATCTCCTCTCTCCGGTTATCCATAACCAATTCACTTGATGAACCCAACTTAGCCATGTTGTCTGTTGGCTTGGCAGAATGGTCTTTGTGATTTAATTCCAAAGCAGATTGATCTGGCCTATTGGGAACTGACCTTGAAGGATTTAGGCCTTCGAACATCTGAGGTTGGGCTTCAACATTACTTAGAGCTTCAAATCTATTACGAACATGGGCATTGGGCCCTTTAGAATTTTTTGGGCCTTTCATTCTTCTCTTTGTGGTGGCCTTCATCCAAGGCCCATATTTATCAGTCTCTGTCCCTTCTTTAGCTCTTCTATTATATGAGTCCAGCCCATTTAAAGGAGCCTCCTTCCTACGGTTGTCTTCTCCGATGGGGTTGTGGTTGGGGATTGGTGTCACCGGTGAAACATTATCGCTGCAACTTTTTTTATGATGTCCCACCCTGCCACAAGAAAAGCAAAGAGTATGTAAGTGTTCATATTCTATAACATATGTATACTTACCTATAGAAAATTGAGAGATCAGTGGTTTTCGAAGATCAATTTCCACACAAACTCTAGCATATTTCCCCTTAGCTGCCATGGCCGTATTTATATCTACCTTCAGAGGCACCCGCAGGATCTTCGCGATATGATACAGAACTTTCTCATCATAATACTCAATCGGCAGATTAGGGAAACGCACTCAGATGGCAGTGGTATCTTCTTCAGCCTCATCAGATTTGAAATCTTGTTGCCATTTTCTCATCGTCACATAGTGGTCCAGAACAACCCATGGGCCACCTGTGAACACTTTAGTATAATCTTCCATCATATCAAACTTGACAATAAAAAGCCATTTCCGATGTCTAGGGCTTCAAAGTCAGCTTGAAGGCCCCAGATCTTTGTGATCATAAACAGTTTATACCCTATTTTCTTCCCTAGCAGCCTTACAATCAAACATTTTTTCCAAGGATCCCTAATTTTTTTTAGCAGATTTGCGGGTATGGTAACTTTAGGAATACCTGCCCTATTTTTGTTGTTGATCTCCACATGACCCTCAGGAGTGATGTCGTTGGCCAAATCATCTTCATCCGAAGAGAGTGTCTCCACATCACAGTCAAAATTCTTTTCATTTCCACATTCATTAAATCGAGATCGCAGCAAAGCTTGTTTGAATGATCGAACTTGATTTGAATGCCCTTCCGTAGGAGGAGGTGGATCTTCGGCCATATTTTCCTGCTGCTAGCTCAGGAGGGCCTCCAACATAGGTTCCTTAGGTAGCGAGAGGGTAAGGTTCGCCTTCCCCTGTGTATCTTCCACCGAGCTCTGTACCTTCATACCATCATCAGCTAAATCAGATATATTTTTGATCTTCTTAATACTTCGAACTAGATGATCTTTCTCTTCTTTGGAACAATCATGGTCATGCTGGGCCTCAATGGAACTCAGGATCGCACCAATGGTCATATCTTTTTCAAGACTACAATGGCATAATAATTTATCAATATTTTACTTTTATCCTTTGGATAAAATTGTATCATAAAACCTTGAATATAGAACCAAATAATAAAAAAATAGAAAAGGGACGTGCCAATCAATATCTCAAACTCAATCAAAAAAGGATGAAAATGGAGAGAGGGGGAAGAATACACCGAGAGGCTCAACAGAGAGTAAGGGATTGTTTGGGCTTTGTTTATTTAATATATTTTTGAGAGAATTATATATAGATGAGAGAAAGGGGAAAAAAAAATAATAATACATGAGGAGTATAAATGTATCTATGGTGAGGGTGTAAATGAAAGATTGTGAAGGTGCAAGTATTACTTGCAATCCCTAATGTGCTGATAATTATTTTCCCTTTCTAGCATCTGTATATGTAGTTCTCCTTATATTTTTAACTTTTTATAAAAAAATAAAAAAATAATATAACTTAAATAAATACACTTATCAAATAAATATACTTGTTAATGCATTCCCAAACAACCCTAACATAACACTAAGAGCATCTCCCAAATTTTGTTCATTAGTGTCAGGCATTAAATACTTGAGTAACAAACAATTTTTAGAAAATTGTTTAAGAGCTCTAAAATAATGAGCTCTAATAGCTCTAAAAATACTGTAGCCCCAATTGATGTGATGTTTTACTCTTTGTTTTTTTTTTTTTTTAATTTTCAGCACTGCCAGCTCATTAGAGCTGGCTTAGTGATCCCTTTTTAGTGGTATGTAGTACCACTGTTTGTCAAAAGTGTTATTGCTTAAACTCCACAAGAATTTTTCTTCATCCATAACCTCCCTTGTAAAAAGTCTGGGACACGTAAACTCCGATGTATGATATATTTTAAACCAGATAGTAACACTTTATGTTGGAATATATTTCGGTAAAAATAATTTAATGTAATAAAATAAATAAACAAATCCACATAAATAAATAAAACTTTACAATACTAACAATTATGTAATTGAAATTAGTATACGAATATTATCCCCATGAAACAACCACCACTACAAATCAATATCTTTAAAATCGGACCGGCATTGCCGACAACTGGTCCAGATTTTGATCCGAATATACCATTAAATCCGTTTCAATTGAAAAACTAATTTATTTAAATAAAGCAGTGGAACCACAATTAAACCGAAACCAGGTGGAGTGAACCGAAGCCAAGTGGAGTGAACCGGCCGAACTTGTTAAGCTTCAACGAATTTGATCTAGAGTGTTAAAAAAAGCTGCAAAGAGAAATCTTACACAACACCTCACGCATAAGGAAGCCGTGCATTTCCACTAGACCAACATGGCTTAAATATAGATAGTGGATGTATTTTGGTAAACATATTTATATAAATTACATAGATATTAAAATATACAAAATATTTTGAATGAATCTATTTTGATTCGTACTTTTTTATTTAAAATTATGTATTAAGTAATTATAATTGATTTCGATTTACCGACAATTCAATCAGTAATTTTTAATCTGGTTACTTTTTTGATTTACCCACTTATCTGAGTTTCATAACGTTGTCATAATCAAAAAGTGCACAATCACATAATGGACAATGAACCAAAATTTTGTTTTGTACTCTCACAAACTTAAGACTCACAGATGGAGAAGAAAAATGAAAAAGAAGATAAATTGCTAAAATTTTATAAATGAAAAGCTTGGAATAGAGACTGCCTTTATATGTAGACTAGACCTGTTGGTGGCTGTTTGGATCACATAAAAATAATGAAAAAAATGACATGACCGGAGCAAACAAAGACGGTGACTGTTCGACAGAAACAGTGGCACTAAATTGGGCCCTAAACTTGGTAGGCCTGGCATTTTCTCTTTTATTTCTCTGAAATTTGGATAAAGTATGTCTAACAGTGTAATAAAGTTTATGACCTTATGTTTTTTGCAGGACAATATTTTATCACTTTACGTATCAAAATGTGTACCCCTGCCGCTTGCTTGTGGTATTGTATGGGTTAGAGAATAGTGCCCTAGCGCCCGTTTGTTTTTCATTGTAGGAGTTCGGAGTGCACTTCTAATGATGAATAGTGAAGATAAATTATTGAAAACTCAAAATGAAAACACATTTTTTGTGTTTTTATTTTTTGGCTAAATTTATAAACTGAGACCACTGATTTATAAATAAAAAAATTTACCAAATAAATTTTTATTTAAATTTTTAAAATTTTTATAAATATAAACAAAAAATTAAAAACGAAAGTGTTACTATGCGGCACCATCCAATTTGCGGCGAGGTTCCAACTCACAGGTGAGATAGTGAGTAAAGAGAGAGTGAGAGGACCAAGGTCTGCCATATTGGCAGAGGAAATAGAGAAAAGACCGAAAAGAAACAAAAGTGAGTAATAAAAATGTTGGTGGTGGGCCTAAAAATTTATTTAATATTTATTTAATTATTTTTATATACATATTTTATATGTATATATTATTTAACACATATTTTAATTATACGATTATATTATTAGAATATACACCTATTCTTTAAGTTAACAAATATTTAACATATAAATGAATTTAACAATGAATAATGCTTGGGACCTCCTTTTAGGGGTCACCCCCTCACCCCTTTGCCACGTGGCGGGTGGTGATTGGAGGAGCAGAAAAAAAAAAAGAAAAAAAAAGAAAAGGTAACTAATGAGATAGAGAGGGGGTCAAAGGGGATAGGAAAAAAAGAAGGATGAATAATTGTTGTTTAACAATACTATTGAAGGTAACCTCTGACTGAATGGTGCTGGATTTCATGCATCAGTCTTGTCACCTCGGAAGTACATAGATTTTTAATTTATTTATTATTTGAATAAATCTTGAAGCGTAATGTAAAAAAATATA